GAAAAAGCTGTTTTTAATTTAGCAGAAACTGGCTTGAATCTTCACGTTGTGAACGTTTGTGTCCTTCAGAAAAGGGAGAAACACAACATGCACACTCGACGTACACAGACCTACGCCCACACATTGTGAGGTGCACACGGTTGCACGTACATGCGCAACGCCCGCACACCTGCACACATACATTGTCATGCACAGGCACATGTTACTCATACATGCACATACAAACACGTTCACTCACACATATACGCTCACTCTCACAAAAACAAGCACACACATGCACACCTGTACCCACGTATTGTAATATGCACATGTGCACACAAACGCACATACTCACAAGCTCACACACACATACAAACATGCTCACTCACACACAGTCATGCACACGTACACACAAACAAGCTTATATGCACACAAGCTCACATGCACACATGAACACACTCATGCACACGGGCACATTTGCACACACATTCTTGTTCACACACCTACACACAATCTTGCACACAACATGCACATACTTAAACACACGTTCACTCATGCTCACACACACATGCATGCACACAAGCTCACACCCATCCTCCCCTGACCCAGCGGGGCTGCCTCGCTGGCCCACCCTAGCATGGCACCTTGGAGGGCCTGGCCCCTCACCTCCCCTCACCCTTGTCTCCCTGCCTGCTTTGCGTGGGATGGGCTCTCTGGGCCAGGAGAGCCATCTGGTTCCAGATGTGATGCTTCCTCACTGTGGCCTGGCTGCCTCCCTCTGCACCTGGCCCTGCTGTGGGAAAGACCTCTCGGGAGGGTGGATGCAGGCCCACGGGGGGCAGGCAGTGTGACGCGGGCAGGGTCTCTGGGGGCCGCATGGGCCCCGCTCCGACCTGGCTGGCTCAGATCCGCCCTGGCTGCGTCCCGGGGCGCGGCTCCAGCTCCTCTTTCTCACGACTGAACGCTCGCTTCCATACGGAGGCCTTGGAGCTCAGAGCTCGGCTTAGGAGGGTCACCTGACTGTGTGTCTCACACACATAGCACACGGTGCAGACATTTGTTGCACAAACAAATACTGGGGGCGGGGAGTGGGAGTAAAACTTCTCTCTCTCTTTCGATGTCCCTGGGAATGTCGGCAGGCATGTGGACCCTGGGATGCGAGGCCACCATGCCGTGCTCGGTGCCCTGCTCAGCTGTTCTTGATATCCTGTGGCCACTGCCAGTGGGCAGCCCTCTTCCTCCCCCAACCCTACAAGGTGCCAGCAACGTAGCTGGGCCCTGGGGGTGATGCACACCAGCCGGAGCCATTCTTGGCAATGCCTTTGGCCGGGTTGTTTTAGATCTGGGCACTGTTCCCAACTCTGGTCAGCGAGCTATGAGCAGAAGGGTTCTGGGGTGGGTGTTCCTGGGCGAAGGAGAAGCCTGGTTACCCCCATCCCTCCCTTACTGCTTCCCCGAGAACACGATGCCAGGAGCTTCTGCAGCCACCTTGCGGTCGTGAGGAGAAAGTTAAGAGACAGTAAAATGCCCACCCCGAGCCTTGGAATCACAGCGCCACCAGACCCACCCAGTGCCTCTGACCTCCCGCTTCTTGTTACAAGAAGTAACAGTGTCTGTGCTGCTGGAGATAGGAGTGGTGGGATGTGCTAATACTTGTAACCCAAAGAATCCCCAAATATGACAGGTGCTGTGGTTTCCCTGCGTCAAATAAGAAAACAAACAGTTGCTGTAGAGACAGCTCCGACTCAGGGTGACCCCATGTGTGTCAGAGTAGAACTGTGCTCCTCAGGGTTTTTTGATTTTTTTTTTTTCTTTTTTTACTTATGGTAAATACACGAGTTACAAAACTTTGCCAGTTCAACAATCCTCACATGTACAGTTCAGTGACATTAATTACATTCATCATGTTGTCCAACCGTCACCATTAACCATTCCCCAATTTTACCATCTGCCTCAACAGAAGCTCAGTGTCCCCTAAGGCTCCATAGGGTTTTCAGTGGCTAATATTTCAGAAGTAAATTGCTCAGCCTTTCTTCCGAGGTGCGCCTCTGGGTGGACTCAAACTGCCGACCTTTTGGTGAGCAGCGAGCGGGACGTTCACTGTTTGCACCACCCAAGGACTTCTTGACTCACATAAGCCAGGGATTTTTGTTTGCAAGCAACAGAAACTGACCCTGGCCGACTTAAACAGCAAAGGTACTCCATTGCAGGGCTGCTAGGTAGTGCATAGACGTGGCTGGATGGCTGGAAAACCAGGCCCAGAAAAAGATATGAATTAAGGCACGAGGCCCCTGGGCCCACAGCTCCCTGCTAGGGAGCTTGTCTTAGTTATCTAGTGCTGCTGTAACAGAAATACCACAAGTGGGTGGCTTTAGCAAACAAATTATTTTCTCATAGTTCAGGAGGCTAGAAGTTCGAATTCAGGGTGTGGGCTCTGGGGGAAGATCCTGTCTCTTTCAGCTTCTTTTCCTCGGTTCCTTGGTGATCTCCACATAGCAGCTCTTTCTCCAGTTCTGGTTCATTCCCTCTGGGCCTTATCTACTGTTTTAATATTTCATAAGTGATTGGGTTTAAGATATACCCTACCCTGATATGTCCTCATTAACATAACAGAAAACTATTCCCAAATGGGATCACATCACCGGTATAGGGATTAGAGTTCCAACACAATTTTGGGAGGACACAATTCAATCCATAACAGAGCTGGTTGGTGAGGACACGTTTGCCACCATGGCAAAATCCAGGGGCCTCAGTTGGCATTGCTGGCTGCCTGCGACGCTTGGTCTCAGCTGCCCCAGGAAGCAGATGCCTTGCCTGACGCTGTTTCTCTGTGCTGCCTGTTCCTGAGTAGAGACCTCCCGTTGGCCCAACCCACATTGGGTGCCAGGGCCCCAGCTCCCTGGGGACGGGGAAGGCGACACATTAGCATGTGAATCTGCTCCTGCTATGTAACAAGCACCCCCAGTCCTGATAGCAAGGATCTGGGGGGCGCCTGTCTTGGGCCAGGCCCCAGGGCAGCTCTGCTCCCACGTGAAAGGCCGCGAATGGCCCAGAGGCGCCGCTCCACCCGTCTCTTCTCTCCTTTGGACCAGTGGCCACCCAGGGCCTGTTCTTACCTGCAGTGGAGCAGGGGACACATAGACTCATGAGAGGCCACTGGAGGTTGGGGCACATGCGGGCACTTCTGCTGTGTGCCATTGGCCAAAGCCAGTCACGTGGGCAATTACCTAACCCAAAATTAAGACCCACGC